GGCTAACCAAGTTTGCATTGCAGACTAGCTTTGACTTTGGTTCTCAGTTCAGGTGGCTGGTGATGTTGTGTTAGTCCCTCTTGACCGTGGTGGAAGCTCTGTGAAGTGGAGACGTGGAGTTTTGTGTGTGTATTTGCTACGACAGTCTCGGCTATAAGGTGTGGGAAGGGAGGCTATAAGTGGATGATTTTTGGTGGCCGTGGATGAGGAGCATTTCAAAGTGTCCTTGTATCTAAAAATGAGGAGCAAGAGTCGGCAAACTTCTTTGAAGGATCAGATAAATATTTTAGGCTTTGTGCACCACATAGCCTTTGTTGCAGCTGCTCAAAGCTGCCCTTTTAGTGTGAAAGCAGCTACAGCTATGGAAGGCATACAAGCGAATGATGTGGCTGCGTTCAACAAAACTTCATTCCGTATGTTGAGTATCATGTTAATTGCTGGTAAGTCCCACTGTATCGAACATCTCCTAAAGGGCTCAGCAGAGAGTGTTGAGTGCCTGGGCTGGGGGCACACAGGTTCTGTTCCATGTTGCATGGAATCTGTGCTGTTTATCTCCAGAGATGTTTGCTGTTCAAAGGAGACGCATTATTATAATAGATCATTCCTTAGCTGTTTAGGGGCCATGGAGAGTAAAGCACCTGTTCCATTTTTGCTCCTTCTTTTGACAGCAGACAGTCATGGGCCTGCGGCGTTCCTTTCTTAGTGTCTTGTCTTGAAAAGCTGGGCCAACTGCGCTTTTTGGATCTTCAAAGACTATATAGACTTAAGTATTGATTGTTTTCTGTTTATGCTTCTTCATTGTATTTACATTTCCAAGAGTCTTTAGAGCATAGGCTTTTTGGAAGTGTTTTTATGAGCATATCATTTCAAAGCATGAACTTTAGGTGTATGAGGAGGGCCTTTCCACTCCTCAAGAATTTATGTAAGTTCGGATCAACTGCCTTGTGACCAGGACCGGATCGTGGAAGGCCAGTGGAATTGGAATCAGGCTGAACTTCATAGGTAGACAGGCTAGCAGAGAAGGCACTTCAAGATCAGTATGAGTGTCAGGCTGTGAAAAGAATCTGTGCAGCTTGTCCAAAGTGAGTGGCTGGAGGGCTTGTTTTAGGAAGAGTGAACGAGAGGAGGGGACGGCTGGAGGCCCCTGCTGTCGGGTTTGGTCTGCCGAGCAGTGGCCATCCTTCCTTGGATGATACTCACAAAGCTTGGGAAGGCCTCCCACTGGAATGTGTCCACCCCTTCTTGGCCAAGGCTGTGGCCTGCCAGGGGCACACTGTGAGATGGGGAGACCGGACAGACCACCAGGGAGCTCTGGGCTGCAAAACATTAAGCCATAACCGCTTTCCAGGGCACCTTGAAGGACTGTGAGAAGGTCAGGGATCCTCCTACCATAGCTCCTCTGTTGTCACGGCCACATGCTGTAGGACTCTTATTTGGAATCACTGGGGTCAACCTGGTGGCCCAGCTCATCCTCACTCCGGCTGGTCAGCCTGACTGCAGACCATGTGTCCATGTTGGTAGCACGTCATTTGTGGGACATAGGACGTTCATAGTTCTGTACAGCTGTTCCAGTCCACTAGAGAACTTTTAGAGAATGCTCACCTCTAATTTCTAGGGGAGCAAGTGTAGTCCAGGTAAGAATAGATGGGGGCAGCCGGGTGCGGTGGCTCACGCCTGTAATCCCAGCGCTTTGGAAGGCCAAGATGGGCAGACCACCAGCACACGAGTTCAAGACCAGTCAGGCCAACATGGTGAAACCTTGTCTCTACTAAAGATACAAAAAATTAGCTGGGCATGGTGGTGGGCGCTTGTAATTCTGGCTACTTGGGAGGCTGAGGCAGGAGAATCACTTGAACCTGGGAGGTGGAGCTTGCAGTGAGCTGAGATCCCACCAATGTACTCCAGCCTGGGCGAGCTCAGCCAGCTGATGAGTAGGCAGCTTAGGTTAGAAGTGTTGAGGACCCCACTTTTAAGAGGGCAGCCTGCGTTTGCATGACTCCTGTGATGAAGAAGCAGGTTTGGGATGTTACTACCTCTCTCTTTAGAAAAGAGTTATCAAACCCTTTTGATTGATTTATAAAATTGCCCAGCTTTATAATGCAGCCTCACTCGATGGAGAACAGCTGAGTAGGAATTAGTCTTGTCAAAAATGATATGGTGTGGAGACCCATTGGAAGGGACTGCATTAGAATACATCATTATATTGAGACAGGTCTGAGGAAGGTACGTAGTCCTAAGTGATTACCTAGTATTGCTGAAGAATTGCTCGTGTGCAGAATAAATATATTTGGAGAATACAGAGAATACAAAGCACATATATAGAACTTTGTAAAAAGAAACAATTGAGTGGATGTTAAGGGGCACTTTGGCAGGAATCAAAGAAGGGCAAAGACAGTTTCGTGAAGTTTGGAGGCATGGAAGTATTGGAGGGAAGAACTCAGAAAGTTCTAAGGCCTCTGGCTGCCACCTCTGGAACAACATTCCTGTGGCCTCATGGTGGCTTCTCTTCACACCCCTTTGTCCTCTCCAGCACTGCATACTCTTGTGTTCCTCCTGATTGCCCAGGGCTTCATCCAGCTGCAGCTCCAGGGCTGGGCTGACTCCTCTTAGGATGCCAGGCACTGACTGCTTCTGCACCAAGCTCCCCAGTAGCATCGCCTAGGACACATACTGGATTTTCCCACTTTGAACTTTTGTTTAGTTGACAACATTTTTAAAAAAATGAAAAAGAAGTAAAAGATGGGATGATGAACTGAAGCAGTTTTCTTTGACTGATTGCATTCTTGGAGCTTATTTCCTGAACTCTGAAATACTGCAGTTGCCTGATCTTGGATGTGTGTGATGGGGAAGATGTTTTTTGCAGCCAGTACATCTGAGGGAACCATGCAGAGTCGTTGGTTAACTTTTCCCTGGACCTGCTTCTGTGCACAGGTCCCCAGATGCATGGTCACATTCTTGCTTCTTAGGAAATGAAACCGTATGGCCATTCAGAGCTGCGATCTTGAGCAAGTCATTTAAGTCCTTTGAACCTTTCTGCCTGCAGCCATACAGGGGTAAATAACATGGGCCTTGCAAGGCTGTTGATAGAATGGAAGAAGATAAAGTCTGTGAAATCATTTAGTGAGAGCCTGGCACATTAAGGCATTAAAAACAGGCTTCTTCTCTTGCCCTGCAGGCTGTTCCCAGACTTTTCCAGTTATACATCAGCTGATCAGTCATCGCTGTTGCCTGAATGAGCCGATCATTATCACACACCTGCCATGTGCAGGATGCTCTGGTAGGCCGCCCAGCAAGGCTCAGAGAGAAAGACAATGCAGGCCCTGTCTGGGAAGACAGTCCCAGCCTCCTGGAGGAAGGTGCGCTGGAGCCTGGAACTAGGCAGGGCGGGGTTTCAGGGAGGGAGGAAGGTAGGCTTCAGATTCCAGGAGGGAGGAGTGATGGAAAAGGCACTGAGGCCCCATTGTCCTGAGATAAGGGACCCATGAGTGGATTGGTGGGGTGGTGGTTTTAAGGGAGAGATGGGGGTAGAGGAACTGAACTGGCAGGCATGCGGATTAAATGGGGGCAGGTCTATGGGTGCCAACCAAAGGCATTTGGACTTTATCCTAGAGCAGTGGTTCTCAGCCTTGAGCCCGCATTACAGTCCCCTGGAGGGCCCGTTAAACTGATGGCTGGGCCCCACCCCGGAGTTTTTGATGTAGCAGGCCTGGGGTGGGCCTGAGAGCTTGCATTTCTCGCAAGTTCCCCAAGGGATGCTGATGCGGCCATTCTGGGAGGGCACTCTGAGGGTCACTGGCTGAGAGGCAATGGAGGATGAGTAGTGGGGGAATCCTGGGGATAGTTGTATGGGGAGGACTGAAGGAGAGGAGCACTTAGAGCAGGGAAGTGACCAGGCTCAAGCCTCCAAGGCAAGCCTCCAAGGCAAGCCTCAGAAAGGAAGGAAGACCACACGAGAGGGACTCTGAAGGGCAGGCTGGCAGTCCTTTTTGGCTGGCTGACACTGACTAGTGGTCTGAAAGGGCTGACACTGAAGTGAGGGACCCTGACATTACTGAGGAGAGGCCTGCTTTGGGAAGAAGACCAAGCATCTGTGCTCAGGCATTTCACATTTGAGGCGGCGGCAGCAGGACTGGGGGAGGGGCCCTCTGGGTGATGCCTCAGAAGGGGTGCAGGTTGGGAAGCCCTGCATGGCCGTGTTGTGTGGGGGAGGCTCCTTCCACGGGAAGAGGTGCATGCCCACTGGAGAGTCAGAGGCAGGGCGGGAGGATCTGCAGTCACACGGTGGCTTTTTCTTCTTGGAAGCAGGTTGGTCCCTACAGGAAGCAAACTCACCACCCCATTGGCCCCATCCTCTCAACCCATCTTGACCTAGAGAAGGAGACCTAAGACCCACTCCTGTTAACCGAGGAGCCGCAGACTCCTGAAGAAAGGCAATTCCGTTGCCATCTTTGTGGAGTCATGTGACTTTGTCCCCTCCCACAGAGGCATGCTGCTTTGAAGCATACAGGAGAGACTTTCTCTGTTATCTTAACTGCATTTTCTAAGTGAACTTGTGCTAACATTAGGTGATAAAAACGGCTGTGTCTTTCACACTCTCCACACTGCAGTGAGAGCTAGTCCTGCTTCAGGCAGGAGGTGGTGTGGAGTGAACAATACCTGATTTACAACTCTGTCTTAACAGAACCCTTCAAAGCAAGTACCCACAACAAAGAGAGTTGAAAGGTAACCACTCACAACTGCTGAAATATCAAGTTATTGCCTGATCCATTTTATTTGACCCACACTTCTTTAGTATAGCATACCAAATCCTGCAAAACTTAAGATTTCTCTTTTAAGAGCACCATTTCATTGGGGGCTTTATTATATCCCTTAAAACCAAGGGGCCTCAGGGTTGCCGGTTCTGTCTGCCATAGGCATTTATTTCTATACAGTTTGTCTCTTTGGAGGACGGTTGCAGGCCTCCTGTATCTAAGGCACAGGCTCATTGCTGGTATTTCTTTACCACCATCAGTGGGACAGAAGAGGCCTTGGACAAACATTTCCCTGAGTCTCCCCTCTCCGCATAGATGGTGACTGCAGGAGTCACACAGATCCAAGAAGCCCTGCTCAGCTCTTGGGGCCACGTGCAGTGGTGGGCTAGAAGCAAGGGTAGTGTGCAGAGCTCCATGGAGGAAAGCCCGGGTTCCAGATCCGAGGACCTCTCCACATGGAATCAAGGCAGTAGGTGTCCAGGGTCTCCAGCACCCAGTTAAACGCTAGGACAGCGCTTCTCAACCCTGGCTACACATTGAATTTTCCTGGTCACCTTTGAAAACATATCAGTTCCTTGGGCTCCACCCTAGATATTCTGATTCACTTGGCCTGGAGTAGGGCTGAGGCATCAGGAGTTTTCAAAGCTCCCCAAATCATATCAATATGTAGCCCGGGATGAGAAGCCCTGAGCAAGGGGGTTGCAGGCCGTCCTTACAGGTAACTGCATTTTCAGTCACACATTTTCTTTTTGAGTAACTGTTATGTGGCAGTCATTGACAAAAACAGGAGTAATAATTCTGATCTTGCCTCAATGGAACAAACCGTTAGGTCGTGAAAGTGTCCTATAACATGCGGTAGTGGGCTGGAATTTAAGAGTGCAGGGGGCTGCAGAGAAGGGGGGTTTATTTAGGGAAGAGAGGAGTGAGGGAGAGAGAAGGAGGGCTGGTGGGTATTTTGGCGTAAGACTGCGTGTAATGCACAGGTGGCACTTCTCAACAGGACGTTTGACCACTGGTGGTGTGCTGACAATGGCAGTGTTAGAGACGCTTGAAGGAGGCTAGGGACAGTGAGGGAGGAGGAGGCAGGGCCCTTCCTCATGCTGGTTCCCAGGGTGAGGGCCCTGTACAGCCCCTCCCTGCTGGTGCTACTCCTGGCCACATCCCTGCTTGAGGTTGGAGCCCAAGAGGGCAAGTGGCTGCCAGGTTGAGGACCCACTAGTCCATTTATCCATCATTCCCCAGCATTGCTGTTTTCTTCCTTAAGTTTATAGAAACCAGCACATGGGGTCCCTGAGAATTGTAAAGAAAAACCTTCCCTAAGGTGCTAAGTGATGCTTTGCATGTATATATGAGTGTGTCTGTGTAGGATTTCTCACCAAGGTGAGATCTCCCTGTCTTGAAAAACTTGTTCGGCCTTAGAACTAACAGCTAACGGCTTTTTATACCGGGGTTTGTGAATACAAACTCTAGACTGAACGAATAAGAACTGGCTTTGAAAGTGCTAGATTGCGGGGAGGGGTTTGACCCACAGCCAGGGTGTTTCCACGTGAGTCCAGCCCCTCATTAGAGTGAAGCGTATCCTCTAGGGAGCAGGGGTTTCCTCCCACGCGGGGCTGCATCCCACGCGCTGTGCCGTATCCTGCCCACCCTATCTTGACCGCGGAAGTTTTCAGGTGTTCTGCACCGAGGCTGCGTTGTGCACAGCTATGATGGAGCTCTGCAGATCCCACTGTGGCCACCGTCTTCCATTTCTTCGGTTTCCGTAAAGTTTCCTAGTGAACAAACTCAAGTTTTCACTTTAAAGGAGAGGGAGGAAAGCTGTGCTCTCCTGCAGGTCATGCAGTGCCACTTTGAGACAGTTTTATTTGGGCAGTAAACTCTTGGAGTTGTTCTTGGCAAAAGTTCTAATGAAATGGAAACCTTGAAGTATGCTTAGAGCGGTAAGTATGGCCTCACCCTGTATCTTGGGGATGCAAGGTTGCAGGCGATCTTATTAGTTGATCTGATGTACTTTCCAGGAATCTTGGTACCGGTGCATCCTTTCAGAATGTAGAGGGGGTCTATCTCATTTGGCTTAAGTGAGCTTTATACTTGAGCCTGGAGTTAGCTCTGCGTGTGGGAGGGAGTGCTGCTTCTCCAAGTGTGGTTCCTGTATTACATGGGATCTTCTTAAAAATGCACATTCTTGGGCTCCAGCAGGACCTCCAGGTGATTTGGGTGCACGCTAGGCTTTGAGAACCAATGTGTGTCATGGCTTTTGAAAAGTGAGGGTGGAAGAGGGAGACAAGAAAGGATATCGTGACCCCCTGAGACTCATCCCCCAGATCTCCTGAATCTGTGCAATCAAAGGCAGTTCAGGATCGTTCCCAGGAGAAGGGGATGGTGACTGCATCGATCAGTGTACAAACCAGGTCCTCCCCTGGCCCTGCCTGGGTTCGATTTCCTTGAGAGATTTACCATTTTGACTCCACATAAGAAAGGAAACTAGCAGCAGGTGCCTGGGGAAGGAGGGCAAATTGTTTTGATGCTGTCAAAACAATACTAACATTACTTTTAATATACCCAGGATAAGATACATTTTTCCATTAGGAATATAAATATCATTCCCAACAATTTCAATGTTGCCTCCCAGGTGGACTTTTGTGAGGATGATTTTTAAAGTAACTTGAAAAATAATTTTAAAATTAAAAATTTGATAATGAAGTAGTTCATCTTCTCTGAAAGGCAACATGGAAAATGGATGTTGTTGTACCTGTGTCTGTATCCCCACCCCCAACGCAGCTGCTCTGTGGTATGTTTGTAAGTCACACAGAAGCTCACTCTTGGGCTCAGGTAAATCTGACCAATTTGCAAAGAAAAGAGCCCAGACATGGAACTCACACCTAGGTGAACTTGCCTGCTCCTCCGGCAGTGGAGGGAGCCATGGGCATGTGTGAATGAGGATGACCGACATTGCGTTTCCTTCTCCTTTCTGGACAGGTTGGCCTCATTCAGCTTGGGCAGGAGCAGGTGCTAATCCAGCCCCTCAACAACTCCCAGGGCCCATTCAGTGGACGAGAGCATCTGATCAGGCGCAAATGGTCTTTGACTCCCAACCCTTCTGCCGAGGCTCAGAGATCTGGGCAGCTCTGCAAGGTTCTAACAGGTGAGTCAGGGCAGCAGCATGACCGGCTTAGAACACACGCACAGCCCGCATCCTTTGTGTGTCTCCAAGTGCACTGAAGCCACGTGAGTGAGAACTTACCTTCCCCTATATTTCAAAAGCTGTTTTATTGCCCTAAGACCACTTCCTTTTCCTTTCTATGTGTCTTAGTGTCAGCAGCCCTTTGAAAAAGTCATCGTTTTATTTCTGCAAGGAACCCATGATCTCTTTCATGCAGTACCTCAATTTTATATATCAAGAGCAAGTTGAGGTCCAAAAATCCTTTAGGGCTTATTGATCAAACCCCAGGTTTGTAGCCAAGCTTGGATGAGAATTCCCTCCTCCTGGTGCCCTGACAAGGAGCTCACTCTTAATAATACAGTGCTCCTGAGTGCTGGCTGCACTAATTAAAGCTACCTGGGACGCCTCTGAAGCTGCGATTCTTGCAGTGTGGCCCTTGGGCCAGCAGCATCAGCATCACCTGGGAACTTGTTAGAAATGCACCTTTTCAGGCCAGACCTGTGAATCAGAAACTCTGGGGGAGGGTCCAGTAATCTCTAGTTTCATGGGCCCTCCAGATGTGTGCTAAAGTGTGAGAACCACTGCTTTAAAAAATGCCATGCACTGGCTTGTCCCCCAGCATCCTGATCTTTTTTAGTCTGGGGTATGATTTGGGTTCCAGTGTTTTTAAAAGTGATTTTAATATGCAGTGTAGGGGGAGAACCTGGGGCTCTTATACTCTGGGTCTTTCTTTGAGCATCCTTAATGTTGATTACCCATCACATGTTTAAGAACATTTCATGGGGCTGCAAATGTCTCCAGATGAAGTTGGATCACAGGTGGCATTTCCTCCCAGGAGATCGTGGGACCCCACTGCTGACTTCTGGGGGCTGTGCTTCTGTAGTTTAAAGACTTATCTTTGTATGAAAATGCAGTGTGTCTTAGTTTAGTATTCTGGTGATATTGGAAACAATGGGTCTTGGTTTAGTATCCTGGTGACATTGGGAATAAATTATGTGACTGCTTTAGAATGACCTTGTTATTTGCAAACAAGTTTTGCAGTTGACCTCAGCTGCTGTGTGTGGACTTGATGGAAGTAGGTCGACTTTCTCCTTAGCCTAGTCTGGGTGGGCAGGGTGGGTATTAGAGGTGATTGTGCTGGATAGAGGGCATCTCTGAAACCTCAGGAGAGCTTTGAGTCTCAAATGGAGTCATTAGGGTTTTTCTGTTTTTTCTGCATCCTTACAAAAGTAAGGAGGACCAAATAAAATTACTAGTACCTAAAAAATACCATTTAATAGGAAACAGGGTCTTTGGTAAGTCTAATGGTTGTGTGTGGGCTTGATGTCAGTATGGCTTTTTTTTTTTGGAGACACGGTGTCACTCTCTCACCCAAGTTAGAGTGCAGTGGTGTGATCATGGCTTGCCACAGCCTTGACCTCCTGCGCTCAGGTGATCCTCCCTTCTGAGTAGCTGGGACCACAGGCGTGCACCACCACACCTGGCTAATTTTTGTTTTGGTAGAGATGGGGTTTCGCCATGTTGCCCAGGCTGGTCTTGAACCCCTGGGCTCAAGTGATCCTCCCGCCTTGGCCTGCCAAAGTCCCGAGATTATAGGCATGAGCCACTATGCCTGACCCTCCCCAGTGTGCTATTTTTAACCTGAGCCCCTGACTCTACCTCGTTCTGTCTTGACGTACCGGCGCAGAGGCAGAGAGATTTCTCTACGGCAGTGGTTCTCAGTCCTGGGTATACCTTGGCCTCACCTGGGGAGCTTTAACAACTCCTCACGCCTGGGTCCCACCCACAGAGAACCACTTTAATTAGACATCCTGAGGACATCTGGCAATGTAAAGGCTCCCAGGTGGTTCTGATGTTCAGCTGGTATTGAAAACCACATCACTAAGGACTGTTAAACCTGAGGAATAGCACCTGTGGGCCATCAGGAGTGGATTTTCCCATTTGAGCACCTTCAAGCAGGGCCATGCAATGAAACAAAGGATAAATATGTCTTCTCACTGTTCCCTCTGCTCACGCCACCGTTCATCAGCCGCTAGTCCATGGTCAGAACTCAGCATGCTTGTAGATGAGATAATGGGATGTTTGTCTAATGACCACCTTCCATCCTCTTTAGTCGTGTGATACTGAGGATCACTGACAACATGATAAATGGTGCTTGTGTTTGCCTTTTTGTCCCTAAGAAGAGTTTTGAGGCATTCTTTTGATAGACTGTTTAGCCTTTAATGAGGAAATAAAATTAACAAAACCAGGGTGGGGTGGATGTGATGGAAAAAGTTAAAACAAGAGCAGCCATTCAAGACTGTAGGGAGAAATTTCTGAACTTGCTTAAAAATATAATCTCTCCTTCCCTGCTCTCAAACCTTGCATCAGCTTGCTTTGAGCAGGCTGTAATGTGCGTATTTAAGGTTGTGCCAGACTCAGGCTCTGCGCTAGTGAGGAACACAGACGCAGAGGAGAGTTACATATTTTGCTTCTGGTCCTTCTTGCATTGCATGAAATATTCAGTAAATGTGGCTGTCCTGAGGACGACAACGGGCCTTTTAATAGGCTGAGCTAATGAGCAGTCAGTTAGGCCCTATCTCGTTTGGATTAGCTTTCAAACATCAGGAGTTTAGAAATCAGGAAAATTAAATTTACTGGGACATCTGCAAAGTACATTCTTGAAGTTTCCTAGAAGTTTCCTAATCTTTCCTAGAAAGATTAATCAGGTTAATCCAAGATTTCCCATGGGAACGTGCTCTTCCTGGCTGAACATGGCAGCCATAGGTTTCATGCCCTGTTGTTGACCCTGTGTTATGATAGCCTTGAACATGGTCTGAGAGTAGCCTTGTCTGCTCTTGCAGGTGAGGAGGAGTCTGAGAAACTTCCTCCGTGAAGCACTCAGTGTACTTGAAAGGTGAACCCAGGTGCGCCGCTGTGCTGATCAGGATTTTATGTCCGAGCAGGGGTGGGGGCTAGAAGGACTGACACAGCAAAGGCCACCTGGGAAATGTTTCTTTCCCTTGGACACTACTGAGGTTGCATTTCTAGTGGTCTTTGGGGCTTCAGGCGAGGGGACAGTCTGATCCTGTTTCCTACATTGCTTCTAATTTTGGGGGCCTGATAAACTGATCCATAAAATAGCACTCCAGGTTGGAACTTGGCAAACTAAAATGGTACCTTGGATATTTTGAAATGTTCCTTGATTTTTAAACAGTTATTTTGACTTCAAACCTTTTAATCTTCCTTCAGTGCTTATTTTAATTTCTCCATTATGATTCAGTTTAGAATCTTCCTCCCAGCATTTTCATGCTCTTAAGTAACAATATGAATCTTCCTCTCTTCACCCGTGGTGTATTTCACGTGTATATGGTAGTAGGTGAAATAGAAGAGTAATTTTCCATTAACATTTGCAACATAGGAATCCCACTGATATGCTGAGTGGTGGTGAGCTCATTGGAACGTGATTTTGCCTCCAACTGTGGTTTCTGTGAAGCACTGATGTCTACTTTATAGGTTAAGTTCTGTTATCATTATCTTAAAAACTCATGGTGGTTATTTTCTAGTGTTGTCTTGTTCATTTATAACATTATAAAGGTAATGTCAATGAGTATTTGATGGATACGGTAACTCTTTAGAAACTGTATTGCTAATTTATGCAAGAATTTGCATGTATAATACGTGTATATCCTCTGTAATGTGCAACTGGTCAGGTCTTGTGCTTTGTACCAATTATGCCTAGTGTTCCATCATTGGAACACTACGCTTGTGGAAGTTGTTTATACCCTACTGCTCAAGGTCATTGCCAAGGTCTGAGTTTTCACAAAAAAAATTTGCAACCTCAGTCATAAATGGGTTAAGATTCATTTGGTTGGAAATGACAGAAATCAAACTGGCTTAAACACTAAAGACATCATTGACATTAGTTCATGCAGCTGACGAGTAAAGCAGGAGTTTGGACGTCAGGTAACATTTGCCCAAACTTCACTTCTCTGCAGTTACTTCTTTGTATGACACCCTTGTGTCCTCACCTGGCTCCTCTTAGGGTGACAAAGAGGCAGCTAGGATGAGGAGGTCAGCCATTCTGTTTAATTGGGATTTGAAGTGGTTTGGCTTGGATTGGGTTTGCCACTAGCTGCAAAGGTTTATGGCAGGCTTAGGTCTCTCCCCATATAGAGCATAGGTGCCAGTACTCACGTGACAATGCAGCTACCACTCTGTTTCCATTCCTGTCCTGACTTCTACCAGCCATCACACACTTAGAAGTCTGGAGTAGATTTAGAACATCTCGAATCCAGGTGTAATCCATTATTCCAGCCTACACAGTTAACATTTGGCTGTTTCATCCTTATTTCCACAGCTTAGATGCTAATTAGCTCCTCATTCCACCTGTGCCCCAGGGATAACTGTAGCTGCTGATCTTTGCTCAGCAAGGGCTCCATCCCTCTGAAATTTGGTTCCTCTACACTTCTTTGAGACCTTAGCTCTCCCAGTGGATAAAATAAAATATGATTTTGTAGTTCATCTGATGTTCTTTGTTGTAAAAGTGGTAGTTGGAGTCTTTCCTGTCCTTCTATATCTTAACTGGAAGCAGAACCTAAGAGGAATGGCATTAAATTGCTACTTTGAGTTTTTTCAGGTTAATATTTTAAATATTTATTGGCATATAAATGTTAACTCTGTAAGTAGACATCAGTAGTTTAAGAATTATTCTACAAAGAGAAAAAAGAACCGTGGTAGAGGCCCAATTCTGTTTCCCTTTGGTGTAACTCCAGAAAAAGAGTCCCTTAATATCTCTGCACCTCTGTATTTGGAGCAACAGAGGCTGCTCCAAAGCACCACAGACCTGGGGGCGTAACAGAAATTTATTGTTTTGTTGGTATTTGTTATTCACAGTTCTGGAGGCCGAAAGTGTGAGATCAGGGTGTTGACAGGGTTGTTTCCTTCTGTGGCTATGAGGAAAGGATCCGTTCCAGGCTTCTCTCCTTGGCTTGTAGATGGCT